TTTTTTTTTTTTTTTTTTTTTTTTTTGTTTTGGCTTGGGACTCAACAGAAAAAATCATGTCAAAACTAGCACCGACATAATTTGTCTAAGATAGGGAAAGCATGCCCCAAAAGTGGCCATCATTGCCCAAACCGTCGTATTCTCTAAGATGCATAAAGATCTATAACACGACATTATCTCGTCATGGACACATCCCTTTTCGGAAGGAATGCCTAGAAGCTTATAACTAAGCCTCCTATTGGGTACACATCAGCCAACTCCTCAACTAATCACCTTCATGTCACAAACATTGCACTAACGCTTCTGTTGTCTTGCTGCAACTTTGTTTCATAATTTTGCCCAAGTCCAATCAGATGATCTCTTCTTGAGCGAATGCTTGTCTCGGCACTCTTGTGAAGTCATCCACATTAGGCACTAGGTGATGACTCAAGGAACACATGTGTGCTCACTTCTAAGAGTACTTCCTCGAAGTGATCAACCCATTCTCTTTAGCTCTCCCCCACTTAACCTAGTTGCCTCTCTTACAGCAACGTTGTCCACCAATATAGACTTGCATTGTATGCATTTGGTACTTGGTTGGGGCATGTTTATCTAACCCCTTGCTTCTTTGCTTGAAACCATTGGCATTATTTCTCTAATGCGAATGAATTTTTCAAAGGCACCAACCTAGTAGAACTTCTAATTGTTTGCCTACCCTTTTGAAGTCTCAAGGGAGCGCGCGCGGGAAAGATGGTGATAAAAGAAAGGAGTCGACTGATGGCAGGCCGATCCAGTGCTCGAACTGTGGGAAGAGAGGTCACTTGATCGGAAGAAAAATACCGCTTCGGCTGTTGACAAGGAGGGCCGTCTAAAGCAACGGGCCCTCCAGCCGCAAAGGCGGTAAGAAGCCATGGAAGTATCACGGGCGCACGCGCGGGAAAGATGGTGATAAAAAAAAGGAGTCGACTGATGGCAGGCTGATCCAATGCTCGAATTGTGGGAAGAGAGGTCACCTAATCAAGAATTGCTGGAGCAAGCTCAAAAACAAGGAGAGAGCCGAGAAGGCCCATGTGGATCAATCCGAGGAGGACGAGCCAACTCTCTTCATGGTAAGTGGCATCGGTCTTATCCGACGTCCCCAGTTTTGATTCCCAATCCACGAAGGTGTTGGTAATCGATGACGGCGTAACTGCTCCTCTGGTGAGCCTCGAACCCGAGAAAGAGCTCTAGCTGGGCGTAGCAAAGGCACTAGCTGGGGAGCCAATTCAATTGAATGAGGAGCGAGTGCTCACTCATATCGGCGAGAGGGACGAGCAGCATGAGCACCGGCGATGGGTCCTAGACACAGGGGCTAAATCTGCGTTCTCCAAGCTCGACTCAAGAATTCGTGGAACGGTGAAATTCGACGACGGCTCTATCGTCAAGATCGAAGGGCGCAGCACCATCCTGTTCATCAGCAAGGGAGGCGAGCACCGCAAGCTAACCGACGTCTACTTCATCCCGAGGCTCAAGGCTAACCTTGTGAGCCTGGGTCAACTTGAGGAGGTCAGCGGCGAGCACTGTAAGCTGACCGACGTCTACTTCATCCCGAGGCTCAAGGCTAACCTTGTGAGCCTGGGTCAACTTGATGAGGTCGGCTGCTTCATTTCCATCAAGCGCGGGCTACTCAAAATTTACGATGATCGATGATGGCTGCTCACGTAAGTTGGGTGCACGACAAGCTGTCTTTACATCCTGAAATTGAAGATAGAGCAACCCGTCAACCTCTCGGCCAAGACCGAAGAGGTATCTTGGAGGTGGCATGCAAGGTACGGGCACTTAAACTTTGCTGCTCTAGAAAAACTACAGAAGGAGGAGATGGTGCACGGTTTGTCGGCAATCAAAGGCGTGAACAAGCTGTGCGACGGGTGCCTCATCGGCAAACAGAGGCACACCCCCTTTCCGTCTCGGACATCCTATCGCGCCGATGAGCCGTTGGAGCTTGTACACGGCAATATCTACGGGCCCATCAAGCCAATGACTTAAGGCTGCCAGACCCTCTTTCGGGTGCCTCATCGGCAAACAGAGGCACACCCCTTTTCCGTCTCGGACATCCTACTGCCCCAATGAGCTGTTGGAGCTTGTACATGACAATATCTACAGGCCCATCAAGCTGGCGACCCCAGGCGACCGGACCCTCTTACTTCTGTTGGTCGATGACAAAAGCCGCTTCATATGGCTAATCCTGCTGCAAGCGAAAAGTGAGGTGACAGAGGCAATTAAGCACATCCAGGCACGAGTGGAGGCCGAATGTGGGAAGAAGATGCGAGTGCTGCGCACAGACCGAAGCAAAGAATTCACCTCAATGAGTTTCAGTAAGTACTGCGATGAGTTCGGTATACAACAGCAACTAACGGCGCCTTACTCCCCATAGCAGAATGGAGTGGCGAAACGTCAAAATCAGACCATCGTCGGGACAGCAAGGTCTTTGCTGATGACGGTCGAGATGCTTGGGAAATTCTAGGGAGAGGTAGTAATGACGGCTGTCTATCTCCTCAATCGGTCGCCAACCCGAAGCCTCAACGGAAAGACGCCATATGAGGCCTGGTACAACAAAAAGCCAGCGGTACATCATTTCTAAGTGTTTGGCTGCGTTGCATACATGAAGGTAGCGCGTTCCACCTTGCCAAGCTCGATCCTAGGAGGCTGAAGGTCGTCTTCATCGGCTATGAACTTGAGAGCAAGGCGTACAGACTCTATGATCCTGCAGGGGGGCGAGCTCACGTGTCTCGCGACGTCATCTTCGACGAAAGCACCTTCTGCAGTGGAACGATGTGATCGAGGTAGACCAGAACCCAAATCTATTCATGGTAGAGTACCTCGTCACCGAGCCAGAAGAAGGAGAGCGCAACATTAGGAACTGTCACTGCCGCCAGCAGCTGCACCCTCTTGAACCAGTGAAGTTCGCAACACCACGGACTACGGATTCGACGCTAGATGTCGATCACGATGATGACCTGGTGGCCAGGTACCGAAGGATGGAAATCCTTGTGGGAGGAGATGAACCACCTGGACTGGCGCTACACGAACTCGAACAAGAGGTAGTCGAACTACATGCCATCAGCGCAAATGAACCGAACACTTTCGCCGAAGCAGAAAGGAACCCATACTGGCTAAAGGAAATGCAGGAGGAGATGACATCCATCACCGAGAACCAGACGTGGAGTCTGAAGGATATGCCACAGGACATCGAGCCATAAGGCTCAAATGGGTCTTCAAACTAAAGCGCAACGAAAAGGGAGAAGTTGTGAAGCATAAGGCCCATCTGGTGGCAAAGGGCTATGTCCAGAAGTAAGGTGTGGACTTCAAAGAGGTATTTGCACCGGTGGCAAGGTTAGAATCCTCCGCCTTTTGCTAGCAATCGCGACACATTGCTCTTGGGACGTCCACCACATGGACGTGAAGTCCGCTTTCCTTAACGGAGAGCTGAAGGAGACTGTCTACATCCGACATGTTTGTTATAAACTTGTTTTTATTATTTGTTTTTTTATTATTATTTTATTTCTGGTATTCATTTCTCCATGAAAAAAGGTCGGAAATATTGTAAGTAGGGGAAGGAACTAGTTTGTAGGGAGTGGAAGGAGTGGTGGAGTGGATGCTGATTTGTAGCAGAAATAGGTAAATTTTTAGTATATAAAGAAAATGGTGCCAAGTTCTAAAGACACCACAAAAAAGAAGAAATAATTTGTGTGTCTTCGTTTATTCTCCCCTTCTGTTGTGTTTTTTTTTTTCTTCTTACAATTGGTATCAGAGCGTTAAGATCAAGGCCAGTTTTCAATCATGTCTCACTTACAGATTGAGCGGTCAAGAAGGGAGAGAGATCAAAAAATGAGACAGAAATCGAGTGACAGGAGCCAAAATACCGGTGCGATAGAAGGTGATCCCTCACATGAGGTGAGTGTACGGGTTCAAGAAAAGGAGGGATCTGTCACACTCAAATACCCGATGCTAACAAAATGCAACTATGCAGCTTGGGCGATTAAGATGGAGGTATTTATGATGGTACAAGGTGTTTGGGAGACAATTGAGTCACCCGAAACTGTAGATAATCGTAAAGATCAGATGGCTTTAGCAAATATTTATCAAAGTATTGGAGAAGATACGTTGCTACAGTTGGGTGCCAAGAAAACGGCCAAGGAAGCCTAGATCATGCTGAAAAATATGAATCTAGGTGCGGAAAGAGTGAAAGAAGTTAGAACGCAGACTCTCTGGCGGGAGTTTGAAGCATTGAGGATGGGTGATTCAGAAAGTATTGATGAATATTCTGGAAAACTCACCATTATTGTCAACAAATTGAGAGGCTTCGGCAATACTGTGGATGATATCCAAGTAGTTAAGAAACTTCTACGATCCACCTCTGCAAAGTTTCTTCAAATTACCTCAACGATTGAGGAGTTCAGTTATCTCAAAACGAAATCCGTTGATGAGATTATTGGATCACTCAAGGCACATGAAGAAAGGTTGCAAGGGTTTGAAGAAAAAGATGAAACCGTTCTCCTCACTCATCCAGAATGGAAGGAACGAGAGACTGCAAAATCCTCAAAGAAAGAATGGAAGGATCAAGGCAGTTCCAGAGGAAGCAGGGGATGGGGTCGCGGAAGATGGAGAGGCCGTGGGAGAAGTGACTGGCATCGAGGAGATGAAGGAGAGTCGCAAACTCAAAAGAAGAGATTTGACAAGAGTAAAATTAAATGTTTCAGGTGTCAGAAAATGGGACACTTCGCATTAGAGTGTTCCACAAAAGACGAATAACTCAACCTGATAGAGATGCAAAAGGATGAGGAGTCTTCACTGCTAATGATAGAGGCGTGTGAAATTAAAACCACACATGACAAAGAGCCTAATTTTGTGATGTTGAATGAAACTATAGTGCCGCCACCAGACAATATTGGAGCTGAAAATTCCTGGTTCCTAGATACTGGAGCAAGCAACCACATGTCAGGAGAAAGGAGGGTGTTTCGTGAGCTTGACACATCTGTTGTTGGAAAGGTACGCTTCGGTGATAACTCTGTAATAGACATTTGTGGTCGAGGAATAGTGCTCTTCAAATGCAAAACAGATGAGCACTTGATCTTATCGCAAGTCTATTACATACCTAAACTCAAGAGCAATATTATAAGTTTTGGACAACTGGATGAGAGTGGAAATAAAATTGTCATAGAGAACAGTGTGATGAAGATATATGACAGAGCTAGGAGCCTGATTATTATGGTGACCAGACAATCCAATAGATTTTATGTAGTAAAGTTGAAGCTTGCGGATCAGGCGTGTTTAATGACAAATATCAGTAACACTGGTTGGCTCTGGCACGCGAGGTATGGACACCTAAATTTTCACTCTTTAAAGCAATTAAATGACAAGAGAATGGTTGAAGGGTTGCCAAGAATCACCCAGGTCAATCAATTATGCAATGGGTGTTTAATTGGAAAGTAGTATAGGACTTCTTTTCCCCGAACAACAACATATCGTGCGAAGGAGTCATTGGATCTTGTCCATGGAGATCTATGTAGACCTATTTCGCCAATGACGTATGGAGGTAACAAATATTTTATGTTACTAGTGGATGATTGTTCACGATTTATGGGGGTGTTTATGTTGAAAAACAAGAATGAAATACTGCTTGTGTTTAAAAAATTAAAGATCAGTGTGGAGGTAGAGAAAGGCAGGAAGATTAAGAGCTTTAGAAAGGACCGTGGAGGAGAGTTTGTATCTACTGCTTTTAAAGACTATTGCGAGAATGAAGGCATGAAGAGACTTCTTACTGCACCATTTTCACCACAGCAAAATGGCGTAGTAGAAAGGCGTAATCAAACGGTGGTAGAGACCAATAGAGATCAGGTTCTTCTTAAGACCAGGAATGTATCTGACATCTTGTAATGTCCACTGATTTCCTGCTGGAGTTTGTATGGAGACATCTCCCTTTCTTTCAATCTCCAAGGTTTTGTTGTCGGCAAGATATACCTTCCCGAAATTTCCTAATTTGAAATTTCGAAACAATTCCTTACTTGGAGACGAATGGAACGATGCACCTGAATCCAAAATCCAGGATTCAGCTGGGCTGTCCACACTAAGAATTAAAACGTCCTCAGCATCTTCTGTTGTATATATAGAATCATCATCATCTTAAGATTTATGATTCTGCTTCTTCTTCAGTTTTGTACAATCTGTCCGAAAGTGTCCTTTTCCCCCACAGCTCCAACACGTTACGTTGGGTTTGTTTGGAGATTTTTCCCGGTTCTTTGATTTTGATCGCCCATGTTTGTTTGAGCTTTTTGATTTACTTCTTCCCCTTCGATCAACACTGAGAGCATTGCCTGATGAATCTCCAGTTTCTCGTTTGCGAATACCTTCGCTGAGAACTACATCTCAAATTTCACCAAACTTCAGTTTATCAGATTCTCGGGAACTGCTGATTGCGGCAACAACAGTATCCTATGACTCGGGTAAGGATGACATCAAAATAAATGCCTTAATTTCATCTTCGAAATTAATTTCCACCGAACTCAATTGACTTATGATCATATTGAATTCATTTATATGATCAGCAACAGGTCCACCTTCAGACATTTGTAGATTGAACAATCTCCGCATCAAATACACCTTGTTCATAGCCGATGGTTTTTCATACATATTTGACAGCGCCTTCAATAGATCTGACATTGTCTTCTCCTTGATAATGTTGAACGCCACGTTTCTGGATAGCGTCAACCGGAATAGCCCCAAGGCTTGTCGATCCTTGAGCTTCCACTACTCCGTGGTCATGGTATCCGGCTTCACCCCCAACAGAGGTTCGTGAAGATCTTTCTGGTACAGATAATCTTCAATCTACATCTTCCAGAAACCGAAATCGGATCCATCAAACTTCTCAATTTCAATCTTTGAACTTTCCATCTTCATAGATCGTGGTGAATTTTGCCTAGCTCTGATACCAGTTGTTAGGATCGCACAACAACGCACACGCTCGATCTAGATGAACACAAAGAATGGGATAGAGAAAATTGCAAGGAGAACTCTGGCTAAAAGGATTTTTTTTTTATATTGATGACTTCAGGTATGTACAACAAGATAGAGTACAGATAATAGAAAGTACATTTTCAAAGCTCTACCGGACGAGATATATATATGGTTTAGTTTACTATATATAGCTTTACCAGATTTAGCCATCTACTATATAAAGCTATTTACCATATATAGCTTTACCGGATATAGCTTTACCACATATAGCTTTACTATATATAGTTTTACCAAATATAGCTTTACTGGATATAACCGTTGACCAAGCTATAAATAAGGAGCAAGGTCCATAACCTAACACAAGCATGGTCTCAAAACTACCGAGAATTACAATAGCTTTACGATTTATCAGGATCACAACACATGGTCTCAAAACTACAACTAGGATGACAACCTTTTTCCTCCGGCTATAAATGAGTTGTTTGAATGAGACAAATAATCGTATGAAAAGAAAATCTCTACCATATTGTAGAATAATATTGAGTTCATGAAACAAAATAAAATATCAATTTATTACCCATCAAAAATACAAGAGACTAACCATGGTATGATTTTGTTTAAAAATATATTTATCTTAAAAAGATGCTCAAATGGAGGACGGGAGAAATTAGAAATTAAATAGTCAAATATTCTATACTTAGAATACTTATAACCCACAAAATTTTAGAGCCTTCCTAAATTTTGTGTTATTTTCTAAATATAGTTTTTTCTCATCAATCTATATATAAGGCTTTAAGTTATTAGAAAAATCCAAGCACCCACATATTAGTCATTGCTATTCTTCATCATTTGTGAAAATAGCTTGTAACCCTACAACTTCAAGACACTCACTATGGGCAAAGGTTTCAAGCTCTTTCACACACTTTTTTTTAGTGATTGTTTGGCAATGTTTTTTAAAAGTGGGTGCCACTTTTGGTGATGTCACTGGGTCCAAAATCTCGATCATCAATTTTCATTTCGTGCCTTTGGATCACATGACACACAAGCCCCAATGGTTGCACCAATTGGAAGTAGCACAGAAGTTCAAGTGGCTCCACCATTTGAAAGCATCGCTCAAACCCCGGAGGCTTCATCGTCGGTTGGGAGCATTGCTCTAACCCTGGAGGCTTCATCGTCGGTTGGGAGCATTGCTCTAACGCCGGAGGCTTCATCGTCGGTTGGGAGCATTGCTCTAACGCCGGAGGCTTCATCGTCGGTTGGGAGCATTGCTCTAACGCCGGAGGTGTAACGACCCAGATCCACCGCTAGCAGATATTGTCCTCTTTGGGCTTTCCCTTTCGGGCTTCCCCTCAAGGCTTTAAAACGCGTCTGCTAGGGGAAGGTTTCCACACCCTTATAAAGGGTGGTTTGTTCTCCTTCCCAACCAATGTGGGACATCACAATCCACCCCCCTTCAGGGCCCAGCGTCCTCACTGGCACTCTTTCCTTCCTTCAATCGATGTGGGACCGCCCCTAAATCCACCCCCCTTTGGGGTCCAGCGTCCTTACTGGCACACCGCCTTGTGTCTACCCCCCTTCGGGGAACAGCGAGAAGGCCGGCACATCATCCGGTGACTGGCTCTGATACCATTTGTAACGACCCAGATCCACCGCTAGCAGATATTGTCCTCTTTGGGCTTTCCCTTTCGGGCTTCCCCTCAAGGCTTTAAAACGCGTCTGCTAGGGGAAGGTTTCCACACCCGGCTTTCCCTTTCGGGCTTCCCCTCAAGGCTTTAAAACGCGTCTGCTAGGGGAAGGTTTCCACACCCTTATAAAGGGTGGTTTGTTCCCCTCAAGGCTTTAAAACGCGTCTGCTAGGGGAAGGTTTCCACACCCTTATAAAGGGTGGTTTGTTCCCCTCAAGGCTTTAAAACGCGTCTGCTAGGGGAAGGTTTCCACACCCTTATAAAGGGTGGTTTGTTCTCCTTTCCAACCAATGTGGGACATCACAGGAGGCTTCATCGTCGATTGGGAGCATTGCTCTAACGCCGGAGGCTTCATCGTCGGTTGGGAGCATTGCTCTAACGCCGGAGGCTTCATCGTCGGTTGGGAGCATTGCTCTAACCCCGGAGGCTTCGTCGTCGGTTGGGAGCATTGCTCTAACGCCGGAGGCTTAATCGTCGGGTGGGAGCATTGTTCAAAACCCAACCACTGCACCAATTAGAAGTGGCACACAAGCGTGAGGGTAGCATTGTTGTGCATAGATTGTTGCCTATGTCAAATTTAATCACAAAAAAATTCATTATTTCTATATTTTTTTTCTTAAATGGGATGATTTTTCTCCATTTTTTCATATTTCATTTTTTATTTTAAAGAATAATTTATGAAACATTTCACTGTTTACTAAGTGAGACTATATCCAATAAATTTATCGATGCATTAATACTCTCTCGAATACATAATTAAATTTATTTGCAAAATCCTCTAAAATCATATAATTCTTAAATTAATAATATTTCTTCTATCTCGATAGTAAATAATAATGGGTGATTATGATTTTGAAAAAACAACGATTCCATATTCTAAACTTATTTCTTCTATCTCCACAAATTTTTCTACAATTTTGTGCCATCGTGGGTTACCTATGTCGTCCACAACCATCAACCCTGTCCACAACTTGACCCAATTCCTTCTCCATGTTTACAGACTTGACCCAGTTCCTTCTCCTTGTTATATAGCCACGGCAACTAATATATTTGTTATTGCTTTAAGTCTCCCCACCAAGCTCTTAAGATTTCAATTGTGATATGTGATATTCATGTTCTATCATGTGGACCTTTTCTTTTATGTGGCGTTTGGTGATGTGTTCTTGGTGATGTGTAATGCGTTAAGCCTGATCATACTAGTCTAGAGGTACATATATGAGCCCGCCTAGATCCTTGTATGCGTATGTGGAGCGTATGTGGGGAAGTACCAGAGATCCAACCCTACTTGAAATTGGAAATAGCCTAAGGTCATGTGATGGTTTTAAGATAGGTCCCAATTATGTTATGTGTATGATTGCATTACACCCAAACAGTGGGGAGACGTGGTACCCTATATTTGTTCAGGTAAAGTTAAAGCTTCAATGCATAGATGACAGTGACCAGAAAGGTCGTGAAAGACAAAATATGGCATGATAGGGTTGTAAAACGTATTGAATTTCATTTAATAGTTGATAAGTGTGTTTAATGCAAATTGTTTATAATTAAAAACTAAGTTACGTTTAAATTCTGAATTAAATAGGTAAGTCCATGGCTTCTAAGCCATTTTAAAAGTATTTAGTATGAATTTCCACATATGAGATTAAAGCAGGCATGTGGTGACACCACTAAGTTAGGCTAAGTAGATTAAGGGTGTTACAAATACTATTTTGAAACAGAATCTTCATAAGAAGTCGCCTCAGACACTCGTTTAGCAAATTTCACCTTCACTGTGACCCATGCATATGCCACAAGACTCGTTTAGCAAATTTCACCTTCACTGTGACCCATGCATATGCCACAAGGTTGTTCACTTAGGCCACAGGGCCTATGGGTGTAGAGTTTACACCATACAATTTTGAGGTATTCCAAATTTGGCAAGTCGTCAATGATTTAGACAAACGATCATAGGTCAATTTTGAGGTATTTCAAATTTGACAAGTTGTCAATGATTTAGACGAACGATCATAGGTGTCATAAAGCATCCATCTGGAGTTCGGTTGACATAAGGTTTGGTGAGAGATTTAATATTTCATATAGGCTTTCCAAAACCGAATACCCAAATTCTCTCTAACTCCAGCTTTAGAGTTCAATGCTCGGGGGCCTACCTTACCCTTTAAAAAGCATATTTTAGATACTCATGTCAACATTGTTGCCTTTGTCTTATCAATGCCTTAGCTTGGCTTTCTTGCACATCTCTTTGGTGTGTTGGGTGATGCACCATTCACCTCGATTACCTCAAAGAATTTTCTATCTTGGCCCTTGCATGGCTTGATGGGTGTCACCTAAGCGTTTGCCACTTTGCTTGTTGTTTACAGAAGGGTCACACTATCTGAAACCTCGCCTCTCCAGCTCCATTCAAGGCGTTTCTCTCCTTGATTTTTTATGAAACTTACAAATGGTGTTATAAAGAAGAGCTAAGGATTTGATGTAATACCTTCTCATTGGATTGTACCCCTAAATTATTCTCCTCTAAAGGCCGTCAAAATTGATTTACCTCGTCGGAGATCAACCTATAAAATTTTATTTGGTTGTCGTTTCTAGGGAGTTTCAGGACTGGATTTCTCCAGGGAAATTTTTTCCTTATTCTTTCAACCCATCTAGCTGAAGGCATTAGTTTGGAAGAATGCCTTTTAAGTGCGTGGCCTTAATTTAGAGAAATTGTCGTCTGTCGCCAACACGTTTTGCCATTTGATTTCTTCATCAAAATTACGACACCATTGACATCGCCAAAAGTTGCATCCACCTTTGCACAACATTGCCAAACAATCACTAAGAAAAGGGAGTGAAAGAGCTTGAAACCTTTGCCCATGGCCATTGTGGATTGTTTTGAAGTTGTAAGGTTACAAGCTCGTTTCAAATGATGAAGAGTAGCAATGGCTAAGGTGTGGATGCTTGAATTTTTTTAATAAAGAGAAGCCCTTTATATAGCTGGATGGAAAAACTATATTTAGAAAAGACCACAAAATTTAGAAAGGATGTTAAATTTTGGGGTTTGGGAGTATTCTGAGTATAGAATGTTTGACTATTTAATTTCTAATTTCTCCCTCCCTTACAGCTCAGGAAGGATAATTATATTTTTAAATAAAAACATACCGTTTCTAGCCTATTGTACTTTTGGTGGTAATAAAATGATATTTTATTTTATTTCATTAACTCAATAAACTCAATATTATTCTATAATAAGTAGTGATTTTGTTTGGATGGATTGTACTGGCTTAGATTATGTCACATTCATACAACCCATTTATAGCCTAAGGAGTAAGGTTGTAACCGCTGAGTGTCTTTTTGAGACCATGTTTCTGATGATGATCAATACTAATGTATTGTAATGCTGCTTCTTAATTATCACAATACAACAATGCTGGTACGGGCAGCAGAATTTTCAAGTCTTGAAGAATGTATTTCAACCAAGTTAACTCTAAACAAGTATTTTTCATAGCTCGATACTCGACTTCTACTGATGATCTAGATACATTGTTTGCTTTTTAGACTTCCAATAAATAACTGAATTTCTAAGGAATATGCAAAACCTAGAAATAGGTAGTTCGACATTCACACCAATTAGAATTGTAATATGCCTATAATCTTAAGTTGTTTCGGATGATAGTAGGAGTTTTGACAAGGAGTACCTTCGATGTATTTCAAAACTCGAAGAGCTGCCACCGAATGTGGTTTTCTTGGTTTATGCATAAATAATTTACTAGAGAATTGGTAATTTTTCCCATTTAATTTGTTTGGAACATGTGAATATCCTAACTGATCAGTTCTTGGTTCATGCATAAATGATTTACTCAAGGATTGGTAGTTTGTCCCATATGATTTGATTGGAACAAGTGAATATCTTGACTGATCAGAATTGTGAATGTAATAAGAATATGTCAAATAAACATCCAAAATTTTGAAGCTGAATTTGGTTGATACCGCCAAAAAGGAAATTTTGATATTTAGGAAGATCGATGTTCCCCTTTAGTCACTTGAGAGGCTTATGTGCATGGGCTACTCTAAGCCTAAGATCTTGATTCCTTTAAAGAAGTTTTAGAGGATAACCCGAACATGGATATCTCATCACTTTGGCCAGCAGAATTCTATTACCTTAATCTTGTTTACTGTCAAGTAGAAGCAGTTGGAAGGAAAAATAGGTCAACAGGTTCTTCCAACGAGGGGCATGTGCCAAAGAATGTTGTTAGTGATAATGGAGAGAGATCTTTTAACTTGAGAGCTTGCTCATCATCAAATCATTCCATCACTGAATTCCGTAATGATGTTGTGAAAGAAAATACGAACATCTCGAGCCTGTCACCTTTGAGCTTTGGTGAGAAATTTGAAGATGCTTATAACGTAGTCTTGATATTGGACAATCGAGAAGAAAAATGTTATTTCCCTTGGCGTTTTGGATGCCAGTGGTTATTGCATCATTTTGGAAGGAGGGAATTTGAAAGTAGATTGTAGAGCTTTGGTGGCAATTAAAGGAACTAGAAGAGGTAGCATATACTACCTCAATGGAACCACAATAATTGGGCATGCTGCTGTGGCAAGTTCAAAAGAACAAGACATATCGAAATTATGGCACATGAGACTTAGGCATGCTGGTGAGAAGGCGCTTCAGACATTGGTGAACCAAGGAGTCCTTAAGGGTGCCACAACTGGTAAAATTGATTTTTGTGAACCTTGTATATTTTGTAAACTAAAAAATGTGAAGTTTAGTACAACTATACACCAAACAAAGGGCATTTTGGATTATGTTCACGCTTATGTATGGGGCCCCACGAAGAATGTCTCATTGGGAGGGAAGAGGTAGTTTGTCACATTTATTGATGACTACTCGAGGAGAGTTTGAATGTATCCCATGAGACACAAAAATGAGGTTCTCCAAATCTTCTTGGAGTGGAAGAAAATGGTAGAGAATCAGACGGACAGGAAAACCAAAAAGTTGAGATCAGACAACGGTGGAGAATATACTTATGATCCATTCCTTAAAGTATGTCGAGATAAAGGGATTGTTCGACACTTCACTATTCCTAGTAAGCCACAACAAAATGGAGTTGCTGAGAGAATGAACCAGACATTAATAGAGAAGGTTCGATGCATATTGTCTCAAGCAGGATTGAGTAAGGCTTTTTGAGCTGAGGCTCTCAGTTATGCAGTTCACTTTGTGAATCGTTTACCTGATTCTGGAAATGGTGAGAAAACTCCGCTTAAGGTATGGTCAGGTACTCCTGTTAGTGATTATGATAAATTGCATGTGTTTGGGTGTCCTGCTTATTATCATGTGACAGACTTAAAGCTGGATCCTAGAGCAAAAAATGCCAAGTTTATGGGCTTTAGTAAAGGCGTGAAGGGCTATAGGTTATGGTGTCTAGAAACAAGTAAGATTGTTAATAGTCGAGATGTTACATTCGATGAGTCTGGAATGTTTTTGCAGAAGTCGAGATGTTACATTCGATGAGTCTGGAATGTTTTTGCAGAAAATTGAAAATAATGACACTCAAAGCTGGATCCTAGAGCAAAAAATGCCAAGTTTATGGGCTTTAGTAAAGGCGTGAAGGGCTATAGGTTATGGTGTCTAGAAACAAGTAAGATTGTTAATAGTCGAGATGTTACATTCGATGAGTCTGGAATGTTTTTGCAGAAGTCGAGATGTTACATTCGATGAGTCTGGAATGTTTTTGCAGAAAATTGAAAATAATGACGCTCAAAGCTGGATCCTAGAGCAAAAAATGCCAAGTTTATGGGCTTTAGTAAAGGCGTGAAGGGCTATAGGTTATGGTGTCTAGAAACAAGTAAGATTGTTAATAGTCGAGATGTTACATTCGATGAGTCTGGAATGTTTTTGCAGAAGTCGAGATGTTACATTCGATGAGTCTGGAATGTTTTTGCAGAAAATTGAAAATAATGACGCTCAAAGCTGGATCCTAGAGCAAAAAATGCCAAGTTTATGGGATTTAGTAAAGGCGTGAAGGGCTATAGGTTATGGTGTCTAGAAACAAGTAAGATTGTTAATAGTCGAGATGTTACATTCGATGAGTCTGGAATGTTTTTGCAGAAGTCGAGATGTTACATTCGATGAGTCTGGAATGTTTTTGCAGAAAATTGAAAATAATGACGAGCCGTTGAAGTAGGTGGAGAAGGTAGTATTCTCTCTTGATAAAGTTGCTCCTACTGAAGAACCTATTGATCATCTTAGAACAGGAGGGGAGGAGCAAAGCCTTGAAAGATGGAAATATTGAATTCACATATGAAAGTAATGGATTTATATGAAAGGAGTTTTCATCAACTATTGTTGCAATAATTATTTGGATATTATTCATTCTTCATCTATCATCCATTAAAAGAATTTAACAATATAATTTAACAATATATTTAACAATATAATTTAACATCCATTAAAAAAAAGTTCGTATAGAAGAGAGATATAATATATAGTTATTGAAGTATGTATGTATGAAGACTTGTATTTATTAATATAATAAACATGTGCAGATATATATATAGTTATTTATATCTCCTCCTTTATTACCACCACCCCCATGGCTCAATGGTCGATAGAACCCAAATGAATGGATATTCGAGACATCTCCATGAGATGAACGACATGCAGGCCTGTTCTCGATGGCATGCACGAGTGAGTGGTGATGGTTGACGACACCCCAAGACTTAGAATGGCATCAAGACATATGGGCCATATGGATCAAGATGAGATGCGACGTTGCATTGAAAGACTTTGGTCTCAAGCAGAGGCAAGGTCAAGCCAAATGACTTAGCCTAGTGTAGAGGCAAGGTCGAACCAAAAAACTTTCACAATTTTGTTCTCCGACAATATTGTTGTCGACCCAAGTTTGTTCCTATTGCAAAATCATAACCTATTATTATTCGCTCGTCAAAATTGAAAAAATATAATTAGAATCAATTTAATTAATTTATTAATAGTATGATGTTAGAAGATTTTGCAAACAAGACAATTTGTATTAATGCATCAATAAATTTATTGGTATGGTCTCACTTAGTAGATCATCAAAGTGTACCCTATTAAAAACAATGTGTCATTAAGTTTTAAAAATATCATTCTTTAGTTAAAGTCAAAAATTAAATATAAGCAAAAAAATAGAGAATTATCATTCCATTTAAGAAAAAATATAGAAATAATGAATTTGTCTACAAAATAATGATTTAGTTTGGCTGAGGTGTTCCTCTATGCATAGCAATGCTACTCTCACATTTGTGTGCTACTTCCAACTGGTGCAATAGTTGGGGTTTGAGCCATGCTTCCAACTGGTGCAACCTTCGGAGGTAGTGCAATTCTCCCAAACGGTGCTGCCTCCAACACAATTCTCCCAACCGATGCAGCATCAGGGGTTTGAGCAATGGTTCCAACCGATGCACCCTCCGGGGTTTGAGCAATGCTTCCGACCGATGCACCTTCTGGGGTTTGAGCAATGCTTCCGACCGATGCACCTTCTGGGGTTTGAGCAATGCTTCCGACCAATGCACCCTCCGGGGTTAGAGCCTCCGGAGTTTGAGCAATGCTTCCAAATGGTGTAGCCACCGGGACTTCTGTGCTACTTCCAATTGGTGCAACCGTTGGGGCTTGTGTGTCTTGTGATCCAAAGGCACGAAATGAAAATTGATGATCGAGATTTACAACACCGTTGACATCGCCAAAAGTGGCATCCACCTTTGCACAACATTGCCAAACAATCACTAAGAAAAGGGAGTGAAAGAGCTTGAAACCTTTGCCCATGGCCATTGTGGATTGTTTTGAAGTTGTAAGGTTACAAGCTCGTTTCAAATGATGAAGAGTAGCAATGGCTAAGGTGTGGATGCTTGAATTTTTTTGATAAAGAGAAGCCCTTTATATAGCTTGATGGGAAACCTATATTTAGAAAAGACCACAAAATTTAGAAAGGACGTTAAATTTTGTGGATTTGGGAGTATTCCGAGTATAGAATGTTTGACTATTTAATTTCTAATTTCTCCCTACCTTCGAGATGAGGAAGGATAATTATATTTTTAAATAAAAACATACCGTTTCTAGCCTATTGTACTTTTGATGGGTAATAAAATGATATTTTATTTTATTTCATTAACTCAATAAACTCAATATTATTCTATAATCGGGTAATGATTTTGTTTGGATGAATTGTACTTACTTAGATTATGTCACATCATACAACCCATTTATAGCTTAAGGAGTAAGGTTGTAACCGCTAAGTGTCTTTTTGAGACCATATTTCTGATTATGATCAATACTAATGTATTGTAATGCTGCTTCTTAATTATCACAATACAACAATGCTGGTACTGGCAGCAGAATTTTCAAGTCTTGAAGAATGTATTTCAGCCAAGTTAACTCTAAACAAGTATTTGTCATAGCTCGATACTCGACTTCTACTGATGATCTAGATACATTGTTTGCTTTTTAGACTTCCAATAAATAACTGAATTTCTAAGGAATATGCAAAACCTAGAAATAGGTAGTTCGACATTCACACCAATTAGAATTGCAATATGCCTATAATCTTAAGTTGCTTCGGATGATAGTAGGAGTTTTGACAAGGAGTACCTTCGATGTATCTCAAAACTCGAAGAGCTGCCACCGAATGTGGTTTTCTTGGTTTATGCATAAATAGTTTACTAGAGAATTGGTAATTTTTCCCGTTTAATTTGTTTGGAACATGTGAATATCCTAACTGATCACTTCTTGGTTCATGCATAAATGATTTACTCAAGGATTGGTAGTTTGTCCCATATGATTTGATTGGAACAAGTGAATATCTTGACTGATCAGAATTGTGAATGTAATAAGAATATGTTAAATAAACATCCGAAATTTTGAAGCTGAATTTGGTTGATACCGCCAAAAAGGAAATTTTGATATTTAGGAAGATCGATGTTCCCCTTTAGTCACTTGAGAGGCTTATGTGCATGGGCTACTCTAAGCCTAAGATCTTGATTCCTTTAAAGAAGTTTTAGAGGATAACCCGAACATGGATATCTCATCACTTTGGCCAGCAGAATTCTATTACCTTAATCTTGTTTACTGTCAAGTAGAAGCAGTTGGAAGGAAAAATAGGTCAACAGGTTCTTCCAACGAGGGGCATGTGCCAAAGAATGTTGTTAGTGATAATGGAGAGAGATCTTTTAACTTGAGAGCTTGCTCATCATCAAATCATTCCATCACTGAATTCCGTAATGATGTTGTGAAAGAAAATACGAACATCTCGAGCCTGTCACCTTTGAGCTTTGGTGAGAAATTTGAAGATGCTTATAACGTAGTCTTGATATTGGACGATCGAGAACAGTTTGCCAACCGTAGCTCTCGATCTAGGAGAATGATTAGGAATATGTAGCCAATTCAAGATCCAAATTTAGAGTAGGAGGCTACGTGTTGTGACCGAATCTAGATAGTTCGCCACAAACATCTTGATAATGAATATGTTCTTGATTTTATTATTGAAAGAAAAAATATTGATGATTTGCGATTCTCAATCATGGACAATCGCTAAAGACATTAGAAATTAAAACCTTTGAGATTTAGGCTTAAAAGAATTGATATATCTTGTGGAAGGTCATCCCAATTCGTTCGTCGTTTCAATCTCTAACACTTCTCTTCTGTTCTTCCTCTTCTCCTACTCTGATACCATGTTAAGAATGTGAAACATAACTAGTGTTGTGCGCCGAAAGCTTTACAAATGTACTCACAACACCAATGAACCGAATTATACAAGGAGACACCAAAATATTTATGTGGTTCGGAGAGAAGAAGTTTCCCTACATCCACGGGTAGCAACCAATCACTAAAAACAAAGTGTTACAAGTGAATGCCTCGCTATCACACTACAAAGTCTCTCACCAATATGTCACTCAACAAATACAACGTGACTCCCAAAGCTCTCCCAAATCCCGATATCAAATTCCGATACATACCTAAACCCTAGTATGACTAAATCTAATTCAAATAACCAAATCAAATCTAATCCAAATAACCAAATCAAATCAAAACTTATGACAATTTACAACAATCTCCACCTTGTCATAAGATCTCCAAATCAAATCAAATCAAAACTTATGACAATTTACAACAATCTTCACCTTGTCACAAGATCTTCAAGTTGATAACTGAGTTTGTTGCCACCACTTCAAACCTCAATACGTAGGTTGGAAACTCCATCAATCATAGAGAAAGTATATGCTATCGTATCATCAAGTCTTGCAGGTTTTCGAATTACCCTTCGTGGTCTACTCTTGGCGATAGACTCAGGTTCCTCCACTTTTTAATTTACAAGGCTTTGCTCCTCAATGATTTCATCTGGTTATTTATTTTGTAAAATATTTTGAAATTCAAACTAAATTTACAAACAAATAAAAAAAATGGGTTAATAAAAAATTTACTAAATTACAGACGAATTTGACCAAAACTGCTATAAATCTTTCTCAAAACTTTAAAACAATAAAAGATTTAAAAAGATACAAACAAACAAAAATTTATTTCAATAGGAACATTTGAGTTAAATACAAGAATGGACACTAGGGATTGGGATTCAACCAAAATACAATTCAACCAAAATACAAACTAAAATTAAAAAAAAAGTAACATTCTCTCGAGACACTCGTCTACCAATGTTACCAATGTTCGCCTTCACTATGACCCAAGCATAAGCAACAGAGTAGCTAGCTTAGGTCACATGACCAAAGGGTGGTGGAGAGCCTTCACTGTGACCCAAGCATAAGCAACAGAGTAGCTAGCTTAGGCCACATGACCAAAGGATGGTGGAGAGCCTTCACTGTGACCTAGGCATAAGCAACACAAGACCAAAGGGTGGTGGAGAGTTGGCACAATGACTTCCTCTAAGGTACATTTGGAGGTATTAAAATCTTGAAAGTATGGACATGATTTAGGAAAACCATCACATAGTGTTATAGAGCATCCGTCTCGTGTTCAATTGACACAAAATTTTGAGAGTTTTCAAATTTCATGTAGACGGACTTAATTCCAAAGTCGTATACCCAAATTCACTCTTAAAACTCTGGTTTTAGATGTTAAGGCTTGGGGCCATACCTAACCCTTCAAAAAGCCTATTTTTGATACTCATGTCGACATTGTTGCCTCTGTCTGGTATGTTGGATGATACACCATCCTCCTCAATCACTTCATGGACTTGTCTATCTTTACACTCGCATGGCCGATTAGGTTTCACTTTAGAGTCACTGTTATGCTTGTTGTGATCTAAGGGGTCACAACCTACCCTCTTCAGTATGGTTGTGACACACAACTCTAGAATGCTCTTGTGTTGATCTTCGTTGTTCTTTTAAAATATGTGGCATGAGGTTGATAGGGTCCATTTAAATATAAAAGATAGCATAAATGAGTTGTATAAGATTTTAAAATGAAATAATAAAGGAAAGTTTAGAAAAAGTTGAAAAATAGACATTTTTTTTACATTACCAAACTTCCCAATTTTTTAATTTCTTATAGACGGGAATTTTATGATGGTCAATCACCAATAAGTTATACGAAGGTTGTAGAAAATTTTAAGATTTTTAGAAAAATAATATTGAGAATGTGAGGTGGTAAATCAAACTTTTCTCGACGCCTTCTGAAGATCCGTCTTAACCTTTGAGGTGGACCTGGTGTTCCTATCTATCACTATAGAGACTAGCACTCCGTGGAGGTATATTGACTCTCTTATTTATAGTTGAACCCAACCAATCTACTTGATATGTGGTCTTGCCTAGAATGAGTGTACTGTTTTGATTACTATGCCTACAACTGCCAAAATTACGTTAAAACTTTGCTTGATCTTTGGCAAACATGAGATAAAATCCATACACACTACTTCCCATTTAAGGACTGTAGCAATCTTGTTGGGCACTATCTCGAGGCCTTCAGCTACTGGCAAGCCATGCATTGTCTTATAAAATCTGCTAGATCCTTCTTCCTCCCTTGCCACTAGTAACATCCTTTCACATCCTATACATCTTTGTACTTCTTGGGTGGGACGTATAAGATGTATCGTGGATTTCAGCTATAATGTCTTTTAAGATTTTCTCGTCTCGGGGACACATGGGCGGTCTTTCCATAGTAAACCCCCATTTAGAGAGATTGAATACTCTACTGGTCTCTCTGTTTCTGTCTGATTCTATACTTTACTGAGGTGCTTGTTAGGCTTCTAGGCGTCAATAACCCGTTTTCGTAGGGTGGGTTGCTCGGTCATCAGTGCTAACTGAGCGGAATCACTTTTGGCTACAATCTCGTTTTCTTCTGTCTGATTCCATACTTTGCTGAGACCTGCTCCCTCCTAAAGCATTCTTCTCAACCACTACGCGACTTTCTTTTTATTTACCGTAAGCTACCCTACTCACAGGGTGAAGGGTAAGCTACCCTATTTATAGGGTTCCATATTTGTCACCTATAATTTAGGATTGAGAGTGCTCTCCATGTGTTTTTCACTCAACTTACAGCCACCCTCTTGTAGTCCCCTCCTTCTTGATGTTTAGTCTCATTATTTACTTTTGTACCGTCATTGGCCTGGTTCAATATGATGCACAAAATAGCACAAGTTAACACACCAAAAGACCTATTTTATGTAATTCGTAATTTTAATCATGAACTCTATCAACTTTAAATATAATTTTTTTTTTTTATAGTAAACAACAAGATATGCACAAATAAGCAAATTTCCCTATATGTTCTAGCATTATCACATCTTTGCTCATCCTTGAGAAACGATCTTCTTTTATTGTATTTATTATTCTTGATGTTGAGTCCCTTGACTCC